CTTCGAGTTAGCGCGTCAAAATAATTAACAAGATGAAGATTTTATTTTATTTTTTCACTGGACTTTCTAATGAAAAAAGTGGAAAAAGCCATAAAGATTTTAAAATCAAAGAAGATTGTTAGATCAAGAAAAAATTTTAAAACATTTTTGTTTTATTATAAAGCGTTAACATTAGTTTTCGAGATTTCACATACGAAACTAACTCTAAAAATCTTGTAAAGATATAACATAACTAATTCGAAGATCAATATATTGTTGTCGAAAATGGCAACCACTAGTCTTGCCAATGGTATTAGTTGTTTCTGATCTAAGATAGAATCATCATTCAAATTACTTTTACACAAAAAGAATTTATTAGACAGTCTTTTAATTTTTTCATCGGATATGAAAATGAGAGTAGTCACTCTCAATACTAACTGCATACTAAATCATAATAACATATCATTCTCTGACTAGAAGACTACTGAGGCTTGAGAGTTTCATTCTTCGTTTTAACCTAATCTATCAATGGACTTAGCATGTTTGAAAATATCTAGACCTTGAAACCAGATGTTATTGTTCCCTTAACATACTTTTCAAATAACGAGTGTTCCGAAAGTTTCTGGATAAAATGTTTGTTCATTGTTGACCCACTTGAAAGTATTTTAGACGAGTGAGAAACTATGGATTAGAACCAGAATTTTATACTCTTTCCGAGTATGAGTTCAGAAATTGTTTGTCAGATTTTGTTTGAGAGTAGTAAGGGAAGCTTTGAAAGGCTTTAAAAAATTGTTTGGACGGAAAAATTTTCCGTACATGTTCGTATTTTCACTATTGGGATTCGAAACTAAAAGTTGAAACCTTTATTAATATACCAGCTTGTAGAGAAAGATCTACCCTACAAAATTTACTATTTCAATTCTTTTTTTGTCTTTCGACAAGCACCTCAATTTTCGTTTTTCCTACACCCTCATTTTTGAAAAATCGACTTTTTGACCGAAAAGTGTTTTACGCAGAAAGGAGCTTCTGGTAAAATGCCTATAACTTCACTTGACTAAAAGTTACAGCTTAGTTCAATATCACATGTTCTATAGAAGTATTCGCTCTACAAAACTACCGAGTCCGACAACTTTTAGCATCTTTGCAAAGGGACTTATAGGGGTTAGCAAAACCTGTTGTTCGTCGTCCAAGCTGATCTTTTAGGCCTTAACAAAGATTCCATCACTACTCTTGAACAAAAAGAGGCAAAAAAATTCAAGGCCGATATTCAGAAAGAGTACAAAATTCTGGTTCTAGATCGTAGTTTTTAACTCGGCTAGAATACTTTCAAGTGGGTAAAAAATGAACAAACATTTTGTCCAGAAACTTTCGGGCCACGAGTTAGTTGAAAGTCCTCTTGTTAATGGCACTGTTGTGTCTGTGTTACAGTGTTACAATTAAAAATATATGGTGTTTTTGCAGCATTTTAATAATATTTAAAAATAGACACCCTAGGATTGCATCACATGAACTTTATATAGTTTTACGCTATCAATTATTGACTTTCTAAAAAAACAAGAGTGCATGTATCTCTATAGTTCATTTCGCTCTTAATATGCTCAAAAACATGAACAGTTGTTCATTTGCAAAATAGATAGTAGTTATATATTTTTTCTTGAAAGACGATCTTGTTGTTATTCCGTTTTTAAAATTAAATGGTGTACCAACAAATGAAAATGATTATAATCTGATACCAGTAACAAAAATGCGGTTTCAAAATATTTTGGAATTTTTGATCTCAATGTTGTGTGGGCCATTATTAGATTTATCATCATGTCACGATATCCAGTATCTTATTGATCGGTTTCACGCTGTAGGTTTTAAAAATGAATTATTATCGAATGCATTTTATGAAGCAGCTTTAGGGAAAACTGTTGGTATCTTCAGATTAAAATGTCATTTATATGCATTAGAAATCAATGATCCTATTCGAGTACATATAAGTACGGAACAAAAGCAATTTCCAGAAAAACGTCATAATATATGTTGTGAACAGATGAAAAATTTATTCGATGGTGCTTTACAATTATCATTAACAGATAAATGGAAAATTAAAGTACATATGGGTTATGCATACTATTTTCTGTTTGGTCATTATTCTGAAGCAATTGATATAATGAAAACAACCATAGAAGATTATAACGTGGACACGTAAGTTCGATCGATATTTTCAATTTTAGATAATTTTGGAAATGAATTCTGACATATGGCTAACACTGTCAGAACGCTCAGATTAGAAGAAGTGACGTGTAGTGAATTAGAAAGGTGTAGTTGTATCATGCAGTGCACATGTGCCGCCCATTGTTTTCAAATGTATGAGACACGCTCAAGTAAAAGAAAGTCTTGTAGAACTGTCATTCTACTCTTTTCCGATTTTGCAATGTCTGGCGGAGCTTAACAGAAGCCAGACAGGTGATCCACAGTTCTAAGACGATGAACAAACCGTTTCCAGTGTATAAGTCGAGTTTTATTAGCTAGACCCAATGGAAATAAATTTCATGCGAAATATTGCACTTTTCTCCATAGAATTACCTTTAGTTCAAAGCTGACAATGAAATAGATCCAAGTGTCGAACATTGATCGGGCTCGTATTTTACCCATACGTAGGGCTCATTGAGACTAGTCAAAGTTTAAAATCATACACGCTCATACATTTTCCTTGTGGAATTATAACCGTTTTATTGAATTTTCGACTTTCAGCAAGCTATTTGGGTTAGAGATGGATGGCGGAATGGTGACTTGAAATTTTATCCATGAACAGATCTCAACACCATTAGAATTCTCGAAAAATTTCAATTGAAACGCATGGCTCTTTCTTCAAATATTGAATGTTCAAGAAGGTTGGTGTTCCAACATTTGCCCATGAGATATGATTGTTTCTTGGACACTCAATATTTGAAGAAAGAGTTATGCGTTTCCATTGAAACTTTCCGAGCATCCTAATGGTGTTGAGATCTATTCATGGGTAAAATTTCAGGTCACAGCTCCGTCATCCATCTCTATCCCAAATAGCTTGCTGAAAGTCGAAAATTCAATAAAACGATCATAATTCCACAAGGGTAATGTATGAACATGTATGATTTTGGACTTTCACTAGTTTCAGTAAGCCCTACATATGGACAAAATATGAAGCCGATCGGCATCCGGTACTGACATATATTTTCTCGTGAGAGGTCAACTTTAAATCTCTAAATGAAGTTATTGAGTGTACTGATGAGAAAAAAGTATGTATCGGATTCACAAATTATTGCTTTGTTGTATAAAAAATTCAATTTTTTGGTTTCACGACAGAAATCCTTCAAACATGTCCTCGCATTTTTGTCTTTTACCAATTATATTTCTATTCAAAGGCATAATAAATACTGTATCTGTAAGATGTAGCAGTATTCAATTTTTCTCACATTATATATCACCTCCTTGGAACTATTGATTTTAAATATTTACCTGTTTATTGATCGAGCAATGTTAGCAAAACTACAGCAATATTTTATTTTCTTCTTCTTCTTTTATTGAGGTTTTTGATAGTCTAGCAGTATATTATTGAGATGCACAAGGCATTTACTAAAAAGTTTATTTTATCGGTTGCTGTTACTGAAGAATTAAAACAGCATAAAAATTTGATGAATGCATATACATATATAATATTATCAACAAAATATTCTCTACAAATAGCAGCTATTTTGAAAAAATGGACGTTGATTAATCAACTTTCTTTACATGAACGACAGTAGCAATCTCGAGATTTTTTAGATAAATGTTCTCCAATGAGTAATCACGCAACAAAACATCATTACAAGCATTCCGTATTTTTTAGGCAAAAGAGTGACCAATATACGTTGTCAACCATACATTTTACTATAACCTCCAAGAAATGTCCGATATTAGTGTATTTATGTAGAAAGCTGAATCAAACTGAGTTAGTTATTCCAACAATTGTTCTTGCTTATTATACGCTGTTTCAATGCTATCGTATGACTGGACAATGGGACAATGGTAAAGAATATATAGAACAATTTAAACAAATATGCGCAAGATTAGAGACTGACTTTAAAGAAGATTATAACAAATCGGTTGTTAAATTATTATTAGCTACAAGTTATTTTTGTTTAGCTTTAATCAATGAAGCATTCGACTTAATAAGTCAGGTTACAGAAACTCTACCTGAATTACTATCCAATTCAAAACTCCAATTGATTGAAAATCTAACTGACTTATCTGATGAATTAATGTCGTTGTGTGGTATACAAAATCTTCTGTGTCTAAAAGACGCACAACATTTTCTGGATCATGGTTTAACACTTACATTACCTTATTCGTTATCGGAATGCGGTGGTGAAAATGAAGAAATTCATACTAGACCACAGCTAGGCAAACAACCATTCCCCACGCTTATTGTGCGTCATGGTTATGACTGCTACAAGATGCGGCCATGGTTAATTAATCCGTTGACAATTCTGGATGAGTTAAAAAAATGGATTAGTCGTCTACCAGTTGAAGTTGGTCTTGAAGGGTGAGGGGGTGTAGGCCAAGCTTCCATGACATGTTTCGTCCTTGCTTGAGGTACTTATCAAATGACTTTTCTAGATGAATTGAATAAATCCAAGTAGAAGATATCACATATAAGAATTTTTGTGGATAGATTCAAAGCATCACACGACGTGTTTCGAATGGGGCTTAATCCATTCCTCATTAGGCATGTTTAGAATCTACAATATTACGTATAAATCATAACTCTCCTTTACGAAGTAGTTAAGAATTACACTACGTAACAATTCTAATATAATTCTAAGATCATGTAAGAATTCTTGTGGATAGATTCAAAGGATCACAACATACTCGGAACCAGACTGGCAGACCGGTACCGGACCGGCCGGTCTTTTACCGGTTTTTTGCTCATTTTTAGGCATAATATGCCATTGCTTTATAGATGTTATACGTTATAACAGATAAAAATATCATGTTGACAATTGAAAATTGAAGTATGAAAGGTGAGAAGACATTATATGAAATCAGTACTACATTAATTTTACATCGCTGTACAATCCCGAAAGTTAGTCTCAAATTTTATAGTTTATTGATTTTCAGCCAACAAGCAGCGGTACATTTGCACTATATGCTGCAGTATTACATAAAAGCAATGCCGAAAAATAATTCATATCTTCAAGAATCAATTTTATATTTATTGGATAGTTTGCATTCTCTTTGGATGTATTTATTGTTTATCTTTGCTAGATTAAAAACGACTAGTCTATCGTTTCTTATTGTTTAGATATGAGTTTTCTTAGTTAGTGATTATTAGGCAGGACATAATATTTGTCTAAGAATTGCTTTACTCTCCCCTTTTTCATTCAGTTTATTTATTTCACGACGTATTGAAGGACAAGTCCTTTTTCGTCAGCTTGTTATAAACAAAATAAAGATAAAATTGATGTACAAATGAGGAACACATGTATAAATGTATATATATATCAGTACAAAAATTGAACTCTCTTTTCTTTTTTTAATTTTCAAGAGTGGAACGGACGAAGAATAGAATAGGTAATATATTTTCTTTTTGTCCCAGTGTTATTGTCTTCTTGCCGTCCGTTCCCCTGTTGAAAATTAAGAATAAAACAGAAAAAGAAACGAGTGAGAGTTCAATTTTTGTACTTACATATATACATTTATACGTGTGTTCCTCATTTGTACATCAATTTTATCTTTGTTTTGTTTGTAACAACCTGACACAAAAAAAAACGTTTTCTTATGAGCAATACAATCATGATTGATCCTGATAACTTGAAATGTAGTCAAATTGAAGCCAAGTTAAAATTAAAGCAATTTATTTTAATAAAAAATGTTAAAGGAAATTGTGAAAAGTGGTCAAACGATATTTCTTTAGTCGGAAGAGTTAATGCAAATGGTGTAGAAGAAAGTTTTGAAGGTTATGCAGCATGGTAAGTTTTATCGCTTTTCCTATTTTTGCAAGAGCTACCTTCATGATATAATTCTTCATTTTAGCAATTACTGTTATTCAACGTATCGAACTCATAGTACGAAAGATAAACATCGGGTGTGGGTGAGTATGGGTGTGGGTGTGGGTGCGGGTGTGGGGTGTGGGTGTGGGGTGGGGGTGTGGGTGTGGGTGGGGGTGGGGGGGTGGGTGTGGGTGTGGGT